AGTGTCCTGTGCAAAAAACTGTGAAAAGATTGGGAACGAGTTATGCAAATCAATAGGTGATTGGTTTATTAAGTGCATCCACATGGCAGAATATTATGAAGCTCTCAAAAATAACAGGGCAGTCAACTGATGATGAATTACATTAACTTAATAAGGAAGAAAAACCATTTTATTAAATCAAATAGATGGAGAAAAAAGGACACTAATTCATGATAAAAACTCTCATAGATAGGGAATCAAACTTTCTTAATCTGATCAAAGACATCCATAGAAAACCTACAGCTCGCTTCATACTTAATGGTGAGATATTGGATTCTCTCCCCATAAGATCAAGAACATGGCAAGAATGTTCACTGTCACATCTTCCAAATGATATTAGAGATCATAGAGATTGCAATAAGGCAAGAAAAAAATTTAAAAAGACCTAGATTAGGAATAAATAAGTAAATTAGTACAACTTACAAGATTGTTATGTAGGAAAGAGTTAAGACAACAGGCCCTAACTACTCTGTTTGGAAAGGTCTGCCTTCAAGGTAGGCCCTTAAGTAGCATCTCGGAATTTAGATGTGGGTAGGGTTCTCACCACTGTGATTGACACAAGTAGCTCACTGTGCCTAGACTGTTGATACAAATAGTATGCCTTTTGGTTCACTTGCTTTCCTTCTGGAACTCTGGAATTTTGACCATGCCAAGCAGAGGCTGGATATGGTATAAGGCCAGCACTCCTGAAAAGTCCTGGCTGCTTAATCTCAAAAGAGCTTCCCTCATTGATAACATGTCAAACGTATTGTCACAACTTGTTGCTGGGAAAATTAAGCATGTCCTGCATGACCCCACTGGGAGAGACCCTTTGAAGCTTATGCCTGGTCTCCCCCAGACTCCACTCGCATGCACCTTTTCCCTCTGCTGATGTCGACTTTTGTTCTTTCCCTGGAAGCTGCAGTTTTCTGAGCCTTCTTAGGGAATCATCAGACCTGAGGGTGGTCTTGACAGTCCCCCACAATAGTTGTGCAGAAAATCCTAAGAAGTCTACAAAAAAGCTACTAGAACTAATAGTGAGGTTGCAGGATACAAGGTCCATATCAAAAATCTAGTTTATTTCTATTCTTGCAAAAAAGGAATCATATCAATTTTTCGATAACATTTACTGTGTCAAAAACACAGTGGACTTAGAATGAAATTTTAATTAAAAATATGGAAGACTTACTGTATTTTGGAAACCACAAATTATTTCTGAGAGAAATTAAAGAAGAGCTAAATAAATAAACAGGTGTGCCATATTTACATATTGCTGATGTGTTTACATACTGGTTACATATCAGACTGGTGATACAGCACCATTTCATCCAAGTGAGAAATGAAGAATATTTTCAATGAAAAAATTAGCAGTTAAAAAACCAATAAAAATTTTTGAGTCATATAGATACCCAAATGTAGAAAAATGAATTTTGACTCCAACTCGTATCATTTACAAAACTGAAATGGATTATTAATCTAAATGGAAAAAGCAAACCCATAAAATCTTTAAAAATATATGTAAGAAAAGGATCTTGGTTAGGCAAAGATTTTTAAACAGGATGATAAAAAGCACTAACCACAAAAGAAAAGGAAAAAAAGTGGACATTGATGAAATTAGAACTTCTCTTCATCAAAAGAAAATGCTATGAGAATGAAAAGGCAATTCACCAAGAGGGGGAAGTTATTTGCAATGACACTTCCGTCCCCTGGAGGACTCACATCCACATTATATTATGATGCTGCAAAAGTAATTGTGGCGTTTGCTATTTCAGTGACAAAAACTGCAGCTACTTTGTCACCAACTTAATATAAGAGGTTCTGGCCGGGTGCGGTGGCTCAAGCCTGTAATCCCAGCACTTTGGGAGGCCGAGACGGGCGGATCACGAGGTCAGGAGATCGAGACCATCCTGGCTAACACGGTGAAACCCTGTCTCTACTAAAAAATACAAAAAACTAGCCGGGCGAGGTGGTGGGCGCCTGTAGTCCCAGCTACTTGGGAAGCTGAGGCAGGAGAATGGCGTAAACCCGGGAAGCGGAGCTTGCAGTGAGCTGAGATCCAGCCACTGCACTCCAGCCTGGGCGACAGAGCGAGACTCCATCTCAAAAAAAAAAAAAAAAAAAAAATATATATATATATATGAGGTTCTTACAAATCATGGAGAAAATGACTGGCACGCTGATGCTTTTAAGATGAGACAGAGGCTTTGACAAAATGACCAATGTAAGTGAAAATATGCTCAACATCATTAGTTATTGGGTAAATGCAAATTAAAACCACCAGGAGCTACTGCATCTTCACAAGAATGGCAAAGAAAAAGGCTGAGAAGCCTACCTGTTGTAGAGATGTGTTCTCCGGTTGCCGATGGGGTGCACATGGGAACAACCCCTTGGGGAGATCGTTTGGCAGCGTCTCTTACAGCCAAGTGCTCATGTACCCTGTGAGCCAACAACCCTACTCCTGGGAGTGTTCCCAGGGATGCAACCTTCATGCTCGCCAGAAGACACGTGCAAGAACGTTCATAGTGGCATTATTTGTAAATAGTTTAAAAAAGAAACAGTTGGCAACAGCCCGAATATCATTCAGCAGTAGAATGAATAATTTGAAGTACAGCCACACAATGGAAAAACGCATGGCAACTGAAAGAAACCAAGAAAGCAGCAATGGCTACGTCCAGCAGCACGGCTGAGTCTGCACACGGGACGTTGAGCGAAGGAAGCAGACCCGAGACTGTGTACCACGTGAGTTCCTCTATATGGTGGCCAAGGGCAGGAAGGACTTACTATTATAATTAAAGACAGAAGCATGGTTACCTCCAGGGACCATGGAGCTGGGTGGGGTAACCTAGCTGGAAGGGAATAGGGTGCTGCCTTGAGGACACACGAAATATTCCAGGCTTTGGTCCAGTTACTCAGGAGTAGGCAAATGTGAGTCATCCCTCTGCACCTGAAATGAATGCATTTCATGTCTGTAGATGATATCTTTTCACTAGGAAGGGAAGAAAGCCAGGCAGCTCATGCAAATGCACCTGCAGAGGATGAGGCTGGGCTGGGACCAGAAACACAGGTGTGGACAGGGGCCTGCAACAGGAAAGCTGTAAGGGGGTCTCCTGGAGGGAGGTGCTGTTGGGAGGGCAGTGGCTGCAGTGGCTTTTTATAGAGACCCTGCGGATGCAGAAGGAGCTGATGGGGGACAGAGCCCCTGAGCAAACGACAAAAGTGGGAGCTTGGAAACCCAGGCCCCTGGTGATGACCAGCATTTACTGCCCCCTGACCAAGGGCAAGGCCCTCATCTCAGTCCTTGCTGTACAGTGACTCAGACTCCCTGAGCTAGGTAGGCGTCACGCTTGACATTGCTCCCACTTAACAAGGGGGGAATAGCAGTGCCAGGTCTCAATTTTGTCCAGTTCACAGCAAGTGCAGAGCCAACATCCTTATTGCCCAGCACTAGGGTCCTCATGCTTAAGCACGAAGCTGTAAGTTCTGTCTCCCACCACACTCTTTCCTTTCTTTTTTTTATTTTTGAGACGGAGTCTTAGTCTGTCACCCAGGCTGGAGTGCAATGGCATGATCTTGGCTCACTGCAACCTCCACCTCCCTGGTTCAGGTGATTCTCCTGCCTCAGCCTCCCGAGTAGCTGGGACTACAGGTGCATGCCACCACACCAGGTTATTGTTTTTATTTTTATTTTTTAGTAGAGATGGAGTTTCTCCATGTTGGCCAGGCTGGTCTTGAACTCCTGACCTCAGGTAATCTGCCCGCCTCAGCCTTGGCCTCAAACTCCTGGGCTCAAAGGATCCTTCTGCCTCAGCCTCCTGAGTAGCTTTGACTACAGGTGTGTGCCACCACACTCAGATAACTTTTTAATTTTTTGTAGAATCAGGGTTTTGCTAGGTTGCCCAGGCTGGTTTTGAATTCCTGGCTTCAAGGGATTCTCCTGCCTTGGCCTCCCAAAGTGCTGGGATTACAGAAGTGAACCACAGCACCCGGCCCACACTCGTACTTATAGCCTTCTGTCTCTTTTTTTCTGATAGAATTCTAACAGTCCCAAAGCTCTGTCCTCCAGACCCTTAGAATCTAGAGCAGCAAATTTGGAGAAAAAAGAGGGTTTCCCAGTTAAGTCCGGGTGATAACAGTCAACAGCTGGTTGGCCATCACGTGATGTTTATGGAGGTGGCATTAGGAACTGGCTCCCGACATATGGAAGTGAGGATGTTAAAGTCCACTACTCCAGCAGGGTGTGGTGGCGGGCACCCATAGGCCCAGCTACTGGGGAGGCTGAGGCAGGAGGATCGCTTGAGGCCAGGAGTTTGTGTACGGCCTGGGCAAGGTAGCAAAATTCCATCTCAAATTTGTTTTCACGTGAACAACTCCACGGAGGCCCCCTGCGTTCACCTCCCAACTGGCAGAGACAGTGCCATCATGCCTATCAGTCGGGCTTCAGCAGTCCTGACTACCTTCTGTTTGCACAGCCTCAATCATCTCGTTGAAATGCGCAGCATCTCCATGCTGAGCTGCCCCGTGTCCTTCCACAGCTGCCTGGTACTATCGTTTCAGCCCAGGTGAATGTCCCGCCCACATAGGTGAGCTGCACCTTCCTCTGCCCTTATCTTGTCCCAGCCAGACGACCTGGACCCTCCTGCCTGCTCCACGTGTGCGGCTACCGCTCCTGTATCCCCAAGAGACCTCCCAGGCCTCCCCTGCTCAGAGCTGAGGGCAGGGATGCCCCATACTTTGAGCTCTCTCTTCAGCCTCCCAGTGTCTCAACCATCCCGGCAAAAGTCTTAGGGCCTCTGTTGTCCTTGGCAGGACAGATCCCTGGAAGGTCACACACTCCAAAACAACCAAAACGATGGATATAGATAAAGTAGAAACACGAGCATAAAAGCAAAAAGGTAATATTCTGGGGCCACCGCTGCCAGGGGCTGATGCCCGCACAGGGCGGGGCCCCTGAGGTCATGGCTGTGTTGCAGCACAGAGCCATTATTGTGCATGATGATGGCCTGAGCCACCCAGAAGAGGCCACCTGACACCCAGCATCCCTGCTCAGGAAGGCAGGAAGGTTTGTAACGCCCTTTAGAGATCTTGGTGCATTTACAAACATCCTGCTCGGCCAGGTGCGGTGGCTCAAGCCTGTAATCTCAGCACTTTGGGAGGCCGAGGCGGGCGGATCATGAGGTCAGGAGATCGAGACCATCCTGGCTGACATGGTGAAACCCTGGCTCTACTAAAAATACAAAAAAAAAAAAAAAAAAAAAAGCTGGGTGTGGTATCAGGCGCCTGTAGTCCGAGCTACTCGGTAGCCTGAGGCAGGAGATCGGCGTGAACCCGGGAGGCGGAGCTTGCAATGAGCCGAGATCGCGCGTGAACCCGGGAGGCGGAGCTTGCAGCGAGCCGAGATCGCGCTGCCGCACTCCAGCCTGGGTGACAAAGCAAGACTCCACCGTCTCAACAAACAAACAAACAAACATCCTGCTCTACCTAGTTTTTTGTTAACCGGATTATTCAGTTATATGGAACAATCCATTCTCTAATGAAAAGAGCAGAAGGGTTGTGGGTGGGTTGCATTATAGATGATTTTCAAGCAGTTCTTTGTTTCAGTAGCTCTGGTTTGGCCTGGATGTTTTCACTGTTCAAGTCTTTCCGAATCTTTTTTTTTTTTTTTTTAATTTTTAAATAGGAAGTGAGAACATCCCCGAGCAAGACCAACAATTGCTGAATAAACACAAACACCCTTGAGAATCACTCCGACAGGTGCTGCCTCTTCACCTGGGGATTGCAAAGGTGAGAGGGGAGGTGAGTGTCTCCCGGTGTTTGGAGAATCATATGAGCGTGTGCTCTGGGAGCTTTAAGTTTCTCGTGAGTGAAAGTTCGCGGTTTTAGGTTTTCTCTTGATGCTACTTTTTACCTCTTCCTCCGTCTACTAAGAAGGGTTTCCTTGTAGGTGAAAATGGAACCAAATTAGTTCTGTGATCTTGTTCCATTCTAAAAGCACCTGGAATTCAGTAATTTCTGTGGGCTTGTGCTCAAAAGCAGGCTGCCAAGTCCTGGGGTCCTTGTCAGGGGTCCTGGCAGAACCCTCAGGAGAGGGCTGGGTTTCTGTAACGTGGCTAACACAGACCAGCAAGGCCACATTTAAACCAAGGTTTTTTTTTTTTTAAATTTTAATTTTTATTTTAAGCTCCTGGGTACGTGTGCAGGACGTGCAGGTTTGTTACGTAGGGAAACGTGTACCATGGTGGTTTGTTGCACCCATCAACCCATCACCTTGTTATTAAGCCCACGTGCATTAGCTATTTGTCCTGATGCTCTCCCTTCCCCCACCCCACCCTCGATAGGCACCAGTGTGTGATGTTCCCCTCCTTGTGTCCGTGTGTTCTCGTTGTTCAGCTCCCGCTGATAAGTGAGAACATGTAGTGTTTGGTTTTCTGTTCCTGTGTTGGTTTGCTGAGGATAATGGCTTCCAGCTCCATCAAAGTCCCTGCAAAGGACGTGATCTCATTCCTTTTTGTGGCTGCGTAGTACTCCATGGTGTATATGTACCACATTTTCTTTATCTGGGTATGTTTATTAAGGGGAAGACCCAACCATGCATTGTGTGTGGCCACCTGGTAAATGAAAAGTAGGTTGGGATTTTCTTCCAAATATATATATGGGTATGTATATGTGTGTATATATATGTGTGTGTGTGTATATATATTTGTGTGTATATATATGTACATGGGTAAATTGCATGTCGCAGGGGCTTGGGGTACAGATTTTTCCATCATCCGGGTAATAAGCATAGTACTCAATCGGTAGTTTTTTGAGCCTCACCCTCCTCCCATCCTCCACCCTCAAGGGGGCCCCATCCTCTATTGTTCTCCTTTGTGTCCGTGTGTACTCAGTGCTTAGCTCCCACTTATAAGTGAGAACATGTGGTATTTGACTTTCTGTTCCTGCATATATATATATATACACACACACACACACACACACATATACATGTTTCAGTAGCTCTGGTTTGGCCCAGATGTTTTCACTGTTTAAGTCTTTCCGAATCTTTTTTTTTTTAATTTTTAAATAGAAAGTGAGAACATCCCCGAAAAAGACCAACAATTGCTGGATAAACACAAACCCCCTTGAGAATCACACCAACAGGTGCTGGCTCTTCACCTGGGGATTGCAAAGGTAAGAGGGGAGGTGAGTGCCTCCTTGGTGTTTGGAGAATCATAGGGGCGTGTGCTCCCTTTATAATTTATAATAATAAAATATATATATTATTTCCAAATATATATATTTCAAATATATTTCAAAATATATTTCAAAAATGTTTGAAATATATATATATATTTGAAATATATATTTGAAAAAATATATTTATATATTTTAATTATATATTATATAGTTTAATAAAAATATATATAAATAAAAATATATATATATATTTGAAATTCACAAACATTTGCATTTCTCACCAGCCGATTACCACTGCTGGCAGTGAGGTGGCCTCCAGTCAAGGTCTAGGGACTTGACCTGGCTTGATCTGGCTCCACTCCCACTGCTCGATTTAGACTTTGCCCAGACAAACAGCAAGAGTGTAGCCAGATCCAGATCTTACCAACACACTCCTTCCTCCCCCGTCCTACCAGGCTGGAATTCACTGTCAATATCCTCCATAGAAGACACAGTTGGCTTCCAACAGCATCAGGGGATACAGGCAAAGGGGGTGATGGGGCCTGAGATAAGTTTCAGTTCAGCATAGAGGGGGCATCTGTGCCCAAATGACCAACTGGTCATTGGTAACTGGTATGACTTACTGTTCTCACTGAAAATACTATAGCTCCCCAAGTTTGAAAATAACATCAAGAATCTTCTCTGGCCAGAATAATGTCTGGCACATAGTAGGTATGCAACCGTTTTGGGATGGATGGATGGAAAATCAAATCCTAAGAGGAAGCTTCCTTCCAGGCTGGTCGTACGTCCATGTCGTAGGTGTCTCCATTGAAACGCTCACCCAGGAGTGGGCAAACTGATTCTGGAAAGGGCCAGGGAGTAAATATTTGGGGCTTTGTAGGCCATGAGGTCTCTGCTGTGATTACTCACCTCTGCCATTGCGGTGAGAAAGCAACCGCAGACAATAAACACAGAATCAAATCAGCATGTTCCAACACAACTTTATTTACTAAAGCAGTCGGTGGGCAGGTTTGGCCTGCGGGCCACGGTTTGCCAACCCCTGTGCTACACACGCTCACTGTTCCTACAGGACAGAGACTGCGTCCCCCATCCCCTTAGGATCCAGAACTAGATGTTTTAATTAAGTACATATGTATTAAAACTGCCTCCCCCTTTTACGATTCTGTTTTAAGAACTTTAAAAAATGTTGCAGGATTCTTAGGTATTATGTGAGGTTGAAAGGCTGAAAGTACCAACCTTGCTTCAGAGGGAATAGTGTGTAAAGCCGTTTCCTTCCTGAAACTTGGATTTGGGACTGAGAGGCGTGAGAATTGTGCTCTAGGGAACAGCCACCAGGGGGAGCGCAATGCACACAGAAGTAACCTGCTTTGCACCAAGAAACCAGGGGTGAAATCTGGAGGCTCAAAGGTGCAGGCTATTCCTGGGATATGCTGTGTGCTTACTTGGGGTACGGGAGCTGGGATTCTGGGTGCAAACGAGGGAGCAAGACACTGTTTTCTCACACTCTACCCTTCCAAAGGTTTCGTGGTTTTGATTTGTGCACGTATTACTCCTGCAAATATATGCGTAAGTATTGTATGTGTGATGTCATCAGGACTAGACCAAGACGCATGGCACCCAGGGGAACAAGCTTCAGCCCAAATTACTTACATAACTGACTGATCTGTGTTTAGGGAAGGGGCTGAGTGCTATGAGGGGGAGCAGAGGGAGTTCAACTTCACCTGGATCCCCCGAAATTCAGTTCAGGCTCCACCTGCAAGCCCTCCAGGCAAAGCATGGTATCATCCACAGGACCGTTTTCCAGCTTTCTGTTGCTATCCAAACATATCCCTTGGCCCAAATGACCACATTTTCATCCAGTGGAACCAGGAATACTATACAGCAGGGAAAAACAAGCCACAGCTACACACATCAACATGGGGGCACCACCAGAGGACGAATACAATAAAAAGGCCAAAGGAAAAAACATACGAGGTGGTTACTTTATTTGCAGAAAGCCCCAAATCAGGCAAAACCAATATCTTCTCTGGGGATATATCCAGATGTGGCAAAAGTGCTAAAAAGAGCAAGAGAATCATTAAGCAAAACGTTAGGGTGCTGGATATCTTTGGGAGGAAGAACTAAACAAGAAGTGTGGAGAATACATGATGTCTTATGCTGGGCAGCAGGTTATTAACTTATTTGTTAAAACAAGGCCAGGTGAGGTGGCTCACACCTATAATCCCAGCATTTGGGAGGCTGAGGTGGGAGGTTAGCTTGAGGCCAGCAGTTCAGGACCAGCCTGGGTAACATAGCAATTCCCTGTCTCTACCAAAAAAAAAAAAAAAAAAAAAAAAAAAAAAAAAAGTACACCTGTAGTCTCAGCTACTCGGGAGGTGAGATGGGAGGATCATGTGAGCCCCCAGGATGTGGAAGCTGCAGTGGGCTATGATCATGCCATTGCAGTCTAATCCAGCCTAGTGACAGAGCAAGGCTCTGTCTTATTAAAAAAAAAAAAAAAAAAAAGGCCAGGTATGATGGCTTAGACCTGTAATCCCAGCACTGTGGGAAGCTAAGGCTGAGGTTTGAGACCAGCTGGGGCAACATGGCAAAATCCTGTTTCTACTAAAAATACAAAATATTAGCCAGGTGTGCAAGTGCATGCTTGTAGTTCCAGCTACTCGGGATGCTAAGGTGGGAGGATTGCTGGAGCCCAGAAGGTCAAGGCTACGGTGAGCTATGCGGGTTCCACTGCACTCCAGCCTGGGCAACAGAGCCAGACGCTGTCTCAAAAAAAAAAAAAAAAAGTCATCCCTAACGTGTATTAGATTACATATACCTTGTTTTACAATATATCATAATAACACAGTATAAAACAAAACTAGAAATAATCCCTTCTGCATGTGTATCTCAGGGTGCAGCCCTGGGGAGACGGAGAAGCTTAGATCTGGGGAAGCTTTCATTTGGCTGTTAGGGTTTGCAGTGTGGTTTTCTAGAAGCTGTAAGGTTGAATGAACTGCAGATGCTCAGCTCAACCCAGAGAACTGCAGCTGGTGTGGAAATCAGGCTTCGTAGTAGAGTGGGAGGCATGACAAGCTGTAGTGAGAGACGTCGGGTCTGGAACACAGTGACTCAAGGCAGAGGACTGTCCCAGGGCATGGGATCCAGGCTGATGCCCAGGTGCCACTGCACCGCTGGCTCAGATGCCCCCGTGACCCCTGCAGCTCCCGGGGCTCCTGGGAATGCCACTGGCGGTGCCCCACACTGGGTGGTAGCTGCCTTTGTATTTACCCAGCCATGCCTTGGCTCCCTGAGCACTGGGTTGCTTCCAGCTCTGCGTTCCAGCACCTGTAGGACGCATCTGTGGATGCTGGTGGGCGGGATCAGCCTCCATATTACCTGCTCTTTGCAGGAAAGCCTGGCCTTTTAAGTCCCGGGCCTAGGACCTGTCCCAGTTTGACCGGGACTGAGAAGTTTTGGGGGGACATGGTTTCTCTCAATGTTGAAACTGGAAAAAACCAAACCAGGATGAGTTGGTTATTTCACCCAGACTTTGGTACTCAAATATAAGGGCTTGGTTTGGCTAGGACTGCTTTTGTGTCGCAGGAGCTCTCCACATATCCTGTACGCCTTCTGGAAACCCTCCATTTATTTTGGAAGGAATAGTCATCCCGCATCTCCCACTGGCAGCTCCTGGGGGCTGCCAGCGTTTTCCCGAGTGACTCTCAGCTGCCTCCAATCTTGCTAAGGGCAGATTAAACTAGTAAAATGAGACTTGAGAGCAATTATTCCTCCCTGAAAGGCTGGAGTGAGGACACAAGAACATGCTTTTCAGACTGGGGAGTCAACAATCACAGCAGATTTCTGTAACTGAAGGTGGTGGTTTTCTTGTCTTATCTTCGACTGGCAGGCATCAGACTCACCTGGGGGTCTTCTTAGACTGAGATTGTGGGGCCCCCACCTAGCGTTTCTCATTCAGGGGATCTGGGATGAGGACTGAGGACTGCATTTCTCACAAATGAAGCTAATTCTGATGGTCTGGGGTCCACACTTTGAGAACTGTTGTCACAGTGTTAAGGGATAAAGTCTGGATGAGGGGTTATCAGACTTTTTCTATAAGGGGGTCACATAAGAAATATTTTAGGCTTTGTGGGTGATATGGTTTGGATCTGTGTCCCCACCCAAATCTCATGTGGAATTGTAATCCCCAGTGTTGGAGGTGGAGCCTGCTGGGAGGTGATTGGATCCTGGGGGTGGAATTCTCCCCTTTGCTGCTATTCCTGATAGAGTTCTCAGGAGATCTGGTTGTTTAAAAGTGTGTGGCATCTCCTTCCTCTCTCTCCCTCCTGTTCTGGCCATGTAGGATGATCCTGCTTCCCCTGCGCCTTCTACCATGATTGTAACTTTCCTGTGGCCTACCTGGAAGCCAGCACCACACTTCCTGTACAGCCCACAGAACCGCAAGCCAATTAAACCTCTTTTCTTTTCTTTCTTTTTTTTTTTGAGACAGTCTCAGTCGCCCAGGCTGGAGTGCGATGGTGCAATCTCGGCTCACTGCAACCTCTGCTTCCAGGGTTCAAGCCATTCTTTTGCCTCAGCCTCCCAAGTAGCTGGGACTACAGGCGCACGCCATCACACCTGGCTAATTTTTTGTATTTTTAGTAGAGATGGAGTTTCACCGTATTAGCCAGGATGGTCTTGATCTCCTGACTTCGTGATCCACCCACCTCGGCCTCCCAAAGTGCTGGGATTACAGGCATGAGCCACTGCACCTGGCCCTAAACCTGTTTTCTTTATAAATTACCCAGCCTTAGGCATTTCTTTATTGCAGTGCAAGAACAGACTAGTCCAGTGGGCCACGTGTTCTCAACTACTCTACTCTGCCGTAGTAACCTAAGAGCAGCTAGAGTGCAAATGAGCGTGACTGAGTTCCAATAAAACTTTATTTACAAAGACAGTCAGTGGGCCAGAATTAGCCTCTGGGCTTTGGTTTGCCAGCCTCTGGTTCAGACCGT